GGCTGCCCTGGGGGATGGTGCCCGGGGGAGGCACCCCCTCCGTCCTCAGCAGGTACGGTCTGCGCGGTCCTTTCTGGGAAGGAAGCTGAAAAGGAGGTTTATGTAAATTTGTCTCAGAAACTTCTTGGGCTGCTTTTTACTCTCACTGACGGGTCTCTGTTTTAGCTGTAAGTCTACCAGTTCTGTTAAGCGTAACGCTTGAAGCGGGATGTGCTTTGCAGACATGGGCAGACAGGGCTGTTATGATCAGCACTGCCTTGCTGATGACATGCATGTTTTAAAAGTAATTTCTGAATGCTAGTAGCAGCTGAGTGTCTGCTCTTGGTGTTTAACTACTTTTTGTAGATGAAAAAACTGTTCTGTATGGAGCAATAACTTTTAGATGAATGTCAGTGAGAGTTCAGCGGTGCAGCTCGTGCCTGTACGTGCACTCTCGTTAGATGGTGTGCTGTGATGTTTGAGTTCTTCCAAACCCTCAAACGAGTCGCAGCCAATTCTGATCTCTCATTATGTGGAAAAGCCAGTGATAACTTTTAGAAAAAGATGTTTCATTCCTCTTCTACTTTTTTCCCTAGTTTGGGGGTGGTTTGTGCTTTTTTTTTTTCTAGTGTCACATCTCTGCTTCCGAGTATACTTCAGCAGCCAGCGAGGACGGTCACTTACTGTAGCCTACGGAATGGAAAGAGGAAAACCGTGAAAGCTGTTGTCAAGAGGTTTCTCCGGCTGCACAACGGCCTTTGGGTTAGGAGAAAGGTAGGACTTTTTGGGTAATAAAAGCGTGTCAGTGGGCTAATTGTTTTCCTTCCATTAGAGGGCAGCAACTAGTACGGAAGGTAAAAAAAGCTCTGTAGACAGACTCCCATCTTCCTGAAAGTGGGGGATTTGCCTTGGATTGCTTATCAGCATTGCTGGATATGTGTATTTGCAGCGACCCACTTAGAAGTCTTCCCTGTCTTTTCTTCTGACAGGCTGGTTATAAAAAGAAACTATGGAAGAAGTCAGCTGCCCAGAAGAAGCGTTTGAGAGAGCTGGTGTTGTGCACTAAAACACAGTGCAAACTCCTTGATAAAATGACCACTTCTTTCTGGAAAAGAAGAAATTGGTATGTTGATGATCCCTACCAGAAGTATCACGATCGCACAAATCTTCGTGTGTAGAAATCTTGGTTTCATTTTTGCATCTCTCGGAAAGAGGTGGTGGTACATGTGGTATGGTCTTAATTTCAGAACATAAATCTGTACTAGCTGTTACTTTTCTAATAAACATGCATATCAGCTGACCAGAATTATGGGTATCAATACCCCCAATAAAGGAATATTCAAGATTATTCTGAGCCATAGTTTGTATTTTACAGGTCAAGCCGGTCACCTACATGTTCTGACATCTGTTGGTTTCCTGTGATTGTGTCACATATGTACATGGATGAATACAGTTTAAACATCACTAAAAGTGAAAAATTCCACATATTTAATCCTAAATTTTTTTAAAGAAACATGTTTAAATGACCCCAGGGTATATTTTGCTGTGTCCAGACTTACTGGTAGCTCTCTGAATGAAGTCTTCCTTGGGGAAGGGGAGAAAGGGGAGCAGGGCCCATCTCAGTATTGTTTCCTGTCACGGTACCACATAAACTGTTACCACATCTCCACGCTACAGAGCGTAGAAAAAAACCTAGTGTTTCATGGCTACAGGCAGTTTTTATAGCTGATGTAAAAATGTATTAGCCACCAATTTTCATTATAGGACTCACATTTTGTATCCTGTGTTGGTTTTTGAGTAGGAGAATATATTTTTTGCATCTTACACTACATCCTCAAGCAGTCAATTCTGAGTATTTTCTTGCTTATACTTTCTTTAAGCCTAATTATACCTCACAGTGTGTATCTCCAATCACATGTATATATGGAACAAACCTAAGGATTTATTACAGGGTCCTTTTGGATTGTAGAGTGCAACTAGTCTCTGGTTTCGCTAAGGGCCAGAGCGGAGGTTTTCTCTACAAAGCTGATGATACTCCAGCAAGTGTTTGTAAAGGAGTTGCTTCTTGCAGTAACTTTATAACCTTCACTAATAATTAACCCATTATGAAGTGGATAGTCCCTGGTTATCAGCTCCAGAGCCACCTGTATAGCAGGAGATGGTTTGCTGTACAATGAATTCACTAGTTACTCAGAGTGTTCAGTAGCTGTATTTTTTTTTTTTTGTTTCCAGTTCATAATACAGAAAGAAGTTCTGAAGGACATGCAGCACTTAGTGAATACATCTATATACAGTCAGCCAGAATTGAGATAAAAATAATACAGCCATCAAAGTAATTTTTCTGGCCTGCCAGATAACATTGAGCAGACTAAAGATGTTTGGGTGGTTGTTTTTTTGTTTGTTTGGTTTTTTTTAAAGAAAAGTTTAAGACTTTATTCAAGATGTATATCAAGCAGTATAACAAAACCAGCAAAACATCAGCCTTTGGAATACTGTTGTAACGGCCACCCTTGTGAGGCATTAAGTGTACCATTTCAGCATAGATCTTTTCTACCGATCACAGGAAAGAAATCACGTGAAGTGCACAATTACGATCCTTAAATACTTTGCCTAAACACAAATCCCAACGTAGTGTTCTCTGCTATTTCAAATCTGGTGCTAGATGCAAAATTGGTACCCAAAACAAACAGCAAAAAGGAGACTGTGATTAACGAGCATTCGGTCACAAGTACGAGGGTTTCATCGCTACGTGAGAACACTTCAGAGAGCAGTCGGAGGCAGCAGGTTGTTTACATGAGGCTAGGGAACATCGCATCTCTCCAAGCAGCTTTTTCCCTCTCATGAGGGACAAACAACTGGATTCTCCTTTCCTTCTGTGCTGGGTTTGCACTTACACAATTTAGATTAGCGTGGGATTAATTCCAAGGTGACAGTGATATACGTGAAGTCTGTCTCGTCTATATTTGATGTGATCCTGATTCAGCAATTGGCAACTGCTGTCACTGCGCTGACGCTGGCCCCTGCGACAAGGAGGCATGGAGGACTGCACTGAGCTGCTCTAAGCTTACGCATCTCATAATTGAGGTGAATTTATGGTAAATTGGTGAATTACTTCTTACTTAAGCCAGATCCGTTGCTATTCTAAATCATCAGCTGAAAGTTTGCTTGCTTTTAGGAGGAGTAATCTGCCCATCACCACAGGCCCAGGAAGCCTCCATCCATCCATCCATCCATCCATCCATCCATCCATCCATCCATCCATCCATCCATCCATCCATCCATCCATCCATCCATCCACGCGTCCTCTCTTTGCCCAAGCCCTGCAAACTCTCCATTGCCAGAAGGGGTCAGCATCAGCGCGGGAAGGCGAATTGCTCAGCCGGGCTTGCTCCTTGCCAGGGGCTCGAGAGAAAAACCGCAACAGAAGGCTTGGTGTGGCTGGTGTTTATTCTGGATGAAGGCAAGTAGCCAAAGCGTGAAAGGACAGACTTGGGGCAACACCTGTAAACAACCCGTGTGGGGGAGATGAGGGATCAAAAGCAAATGACCGTTCTCTATACAGAACACTACAGCACTAAGTGTATGTGGTTAGGGCGTTCACATTTCTTGTCTACATATACACAAATATACAGCTCAGTTGATAAATTAATACATTTTTGCCAGAGATATGAAAAGGTTTATTTTTCTCATTTATACAGTGAATGTTTTGAGAGATATAAGGCAACTCCCTTGTCAACGATTTCGCCTCAGCACTTCAGAAATGCTAAACAGTCAAGTTTACAGTAAAACAGCAAATTAGACGCACATTTCATAATTTTAGTGAGAATCAATGTTAATACAGCGTGTCTGAGAATAGAATTTGTCAGATGTTATGTAGCTCTACGTTATTACCTTTTTTTGGCATAATTGAGTGCAAACTTGTCAGCTTTTATATCTTACGGCAGCCCATTGCATAGCAGGGAAACGTAGCTTGCTTACAATAGGATTTTATTTTCTGCTAACACTGCAGGCAGTTTTTCTATTTCTTTTTAATGTTTGCCAAAAGAAATCAAATAAACTCTAAAGCTGTTTAAAAATAAAACACACGAGCTTAGCTCCTCAAAGCTTTTGCTGAGTATCTTCCAAGAACTGACTCTTCTGTAACTGCTATTTAGACAGGTTTGTTGGGTGGGGTTTTTTTCAATTTACTTTCTGAAGACATTTTCCCTTTTTACCCATTGCAAAATACGATTGAATTAGCACATGTGAAGGAAATAAAATTCTCAGGTAATGAGGCCAAATATTGTGGCAGACACGGGAAATACCTGCTTGCTTTTTCCACTTCCTAGCCAGGTCAGATAAACATTTGTGCGTGCTCATAATTTATTTCTCTCTTCCCCACGTATGTAGGAAGCTCTGGGGGAAACCTCAGGCATCCATCAGACGGGGACAGCTGGGATATCAGTGTATACCCGGCAGAGAAAAGGTTTCAAAGGCCACTTCAGATTTATCTCTGAGCCTGACACGCTCCAGCCGGCTGTCGGCATCCCGGACTGCTGCACCTGAACTAGATTAACAGTACTGTTCATCACCAAACCCGTGTACTGATCCATTAGTGATGGCACGTTCTACGTAATGCTAAATGTTTTTCTAGTCTATGTGACAGGTCCAAGAGCAAACACAAAGGGACACATAGTTAACTTATGTGTGAATTTCACATGCTCAACACTTACAAGAGACACCAACTTGAAGCACAAATACACAAACCCTACCACGTCTTCCTCTTTTATATTTCGCAGTTATATATGGATACAAACACACCACTCCATCTGGTTCTTGTGGTTCTAACCAAACTCCACGCTACAGGCGAAACTCCAGGCTTCAAAAAGCAGCTCAGACCCAGCACCCTGCTCTGCTCGTGCAAGTAAAACAGCAGCACCTCACCAGGAAAGCCGAGCGCTGGGACTGACGCTGTTGCAGGCAGGGGAGAAAGCTGCGTTTCCCCCGGGAAGTGTGTCACTAAAGCGATTCTGACTTCTCTTGCTGCACCTAGTGCAAGCCTGGCTTGCTCACATTTTAAAACTGGCAGTAGAACATTTGCCACAAGCGATACAATCTAGTTCTTCTAGCCGCCATCATTTTCCACACAATACTCTCCTGGCTCAGGCTGATCAAAATTAAGACTCCCCCTTCATTACATCGTTGAAACCATTTATTTTCTCTTGCATGTCTCTTCCTCATCTTCTGTAAGTGGTTCTGTCTCTATGGTTTTAGCACAATGATTTTCTCAGAATACACGTGATTTACTCGCAGAAAGAGAAAGAGAGTTGCAGCTCAGCTTTCGCTAATGAATCTTGGACATTTTGTACAGTCAAAGTACTTTGACATTAGTTACATCATTCACAGTCTTGAGGAGGAAGGAAGGAAAGAGGAATCCATGGCTTCTGCACATCCACTTCATTAATGATAAAGCCATAAATAAATACACTGTCAATGTATCATCATGAGTAACTGATTATTTTTGTTTCCGTTGTGCATTCACAGAGCTAGAGCTATGCGGACACAAATGAGAATTGTAAATGTACAACCTTACAGGATTAGCGAGAGTGGGGGTACACTCTGCAAACGAAACAAGGACTCTTAACCTGCAGGTGTCCGCCAGACTGTCCTACCCACGTCACGGACAAACGCGAGAAGCGTGTAACAGAAGGATACAGAGAGAGGAGAGAGAAAGGCCATGTCTACAGTGCTGTACATCAAAGCACATCCATCCCGCTGCTGTTTCCTACATTATTAACGAGTAGCTCTTTAAGGCAGAAGAGAGACATTCTGTGGATCTTGGTGCTATTGGCTCATTGCACTCACATTGTTTCAGTGGCAGAGGACGAGGTACTTTTCTTCCTGAAGCGAGGTCTAAGGGTCCTAGGCGGTGCCTGCAGAAAAGCAAGAGAAAACTTCAATGGCGTTATAGGAAATGTTTTTTCTTTCCTTAACACTCACCCACCTTTGTGGCGCCTCCGTGGCAATGATCCCATTCCAGGCATGAAGTAATGGAGAAGCAAATCTTGGCCCTGAAGAAGATCATTAATGAACGACCAGCTGAAGACTAACCCCTTTAAGAAACTCGTTGTAGTCCTTTACCCAGGTTACACCAACACCTTGCCCTCTGGCACTTGGTTAGAGGGGTGGCTAAAGATTGCTAATAACATAACAGTCAAAGGAGCCAGGACAAACTGGTGCCGTGTACAGCAGCTCTTGGAACAAGAGAGGAAACTGGTGGCAGAAAGCCAGCTCTCGTGTCTCCCGGCCCACCCTGCAGTCCAACCCAGCCGCAGCCCCTCTGAAGCTGAAGCAGGCCCCAGGGTGAAACACACGGGGCCTGTAATTCTCACAGGGCAGAGCTCTTTTAAAAGATCAGCCCCTTGCTTGGGAGACAGGCCAGACATAATCCATTGAAATTATTTTAGAAGCCAATAACTGCAATTCTGCCTTGCAGTCAGCTGATGCAGACAGCTTTGAAAAGGAGCCCTGAATGCCCAGGAGGAGCCAGACCTACTCCATGAAATTGGTTTACTGTGATTAACTCCATTCCCCAACCGAGACAGAAATTATTTAGACTAGCAAACAAAAAACCCACCCCAATCTGCAACGCATACTTCTCTCAGAAGAGCTTTGGCATGGCATTGTGTCTTGGAGAGCTTCACAAAAAGAAACGGTTACCAGATGTTGTGGAGGAGCAGTGTGGAGGCCTGTCATAGCATTATGTAGCACCGCAAAGCCTGGTAAGCTCTTCTACCCATTTACATAAATATCCAAAGCTTTATTTTCTTTAACAGCATCAACATTTTTACCTGTAAGGCTACGACAGGGTCTTATCATTCGTAAGTAAGGACTTTGTAATTTCTATTTTATAGGACTTCCCAACCCAAGATCATACTGTATTTCCACATTCCCGTGATGCAGCAAGGTATAAATATTCATGTAGATAAGGAGCTGCAGTGCAGTGAGGTTTTGTTTAGACTGTATCTAAATCTCCAGCTCTTCCAGCTTGCCCATAAACCGAGGTAAGTTTTTCGCAGAGATGGGATTAATCCAATACCCCACTCCATCTTCCAAGCCTGAAACTTTACCCCAAGTCCCCACTGCGACTCCCCAAAAGCACAACAGAGCTAGATGGGACAGCTGCATCCAGAAAGGCACAGCTGGAGGAGAAAAACTGAGGAACAAAGCTGCTGTGTACGGCAAGCAGGGATCCCACGCCACCTCAGACTCCATGGCTACCGGCCCTGAGTCACTATCTGTAAAGCTGGAGCTTGGGGACACAGCCTGACAATACAGCAGTATCTCCTGCAGCTTGGGAGAAAGCTGCTCTTTGGGAAGCCAGATGGCTTTTAAAGCAAAGCAGCTATTAACTGCACAGTAAAGACTCTTAAATCAGGAATGAAGAGCTCTGCCTCTTCTGGGAGGCCACTTGACAGCCCTGAGAGTAGCTACAGAGGCTGCACCTTTCGATGGTAAGAACAGAGCAGCCCAGCTTTTGGTGCGATCCTCCCAGAGGTAGGATGACGCCCCACAAGGTCACACAACTGCTTAACATACCACACTGCTGCAGCTCTCTCACACTGAGCCAATGGGAGGGGTGAACAAACCCAGCTGCCCCACGGTGGAGATCTGAGAGCTGCTGGCTGTGGCTCCATCTGCCCTGCCCAGATCTGGAAGGAGTCTGCCTACAGCATCTCCCATCGAAGTTTTATTTCCTCCACAACAAAATGTTGCTGAAATTGCTTTTGGCAAACCACAGCATGCAATCTACGTCTCCTTTAGCTCTTCTGTTTCCATGAAGCAACTTAAAGCATACTTGTTAATACAGTGCCTGATTCAAAAACCTGTTGAGGTCATGAAGGAAGAACTGCAACTGGTTTCGGTGGGGTTTGGCTAGGTGTGAACTCAAGCGAGAGGGACTGGGGTCTGAACTGTGAGCAGTCTGGCTGTGGGTGATGGCTGTTCTCACCATAACTATCCTGCCTTGGAGGTGAGAATGTATTTTCCTCTACAGACATGAAAAATCAACTAGCAGTTGATATCCAAATCCTCTCACCCAAATACCTCCACATTAGCACATGGTTTAGAGCTAGATCTGAGTTTTGCGATTCAGATCCAACTCTGAAGCCCCGTATAACTATTATCTCCACAGGCACCAATTCAAACTTCTTTCAGGAAATCCACACGTGCAGAAAAGTGAGCTAACCCACAGCAAGACCCACCCCTGAAAGACCAGAAAGGTATTGTTCGTACTCAGTGGTTTTAGACCAAAGAGAGATGTTCATTCAGTTGAAGATTCAAGGAGTATCGTACAAGGAAGAGCCTTGACAATATGGAAGTACCTCAAGGGGTTGATCCTTCTTTTTGGGCCTTTTGCTCATGGATGCACAATCCAATGAATCATTCTCTTCATCATCTGAGAACACAGAGCCTTTTGTTTCACAGTTTGCCCCAAGTGGCTTTTCATATTTATTGTCCACGTCTATTTATTAACATGGCCATTTACAGTCTAAACGTGAAGACAAAGGATGAGGAAGTCAGTGATGGTTTGATTCACACACCCCCAAATGCCACCTCACTGCAAAGCCATGCATCTTCCAGGGATTAATAGACAGAAGGTTCACACATCACACTCTAGTAACAGCAGCTGTGGGGTTAGACATCAAAAGGCCCTTGTTTATGAAGCCATTATAAGCTCTATTTGTATTATTTTACATAGAATTGAGACTAAATTCACAGCCTCTGATGTTCTGGAGGTTAACTATAGAAAAAGAACTTTTTTTGTTTGGGTCGGGGATAAATAAAATAGCTGATTTCTTGATTCACTGATTCCATCTGTAGTTCCTGCATCTTCTGCTTCCAGAAGGAGTGTCCTCTAGAAGACACCAAATGAGTGCTGAAGCCCTCTGAACTGTAAAGAGACAGCTGCCTGGGATGAAGCACAGCAGTACTAACTGGCTTGAGGCTGAAAGCTCAAGCCAAGAACCCAGTCTATGATGATTCACACAAGTTAACCAAAAGCTTCAATAGGCATTGAACAGACCCTCAGCAGTGGGTGTGCTGCTGCAAGACCAGAGTGGGGAACAGTCTCTCTTCTGTCACTCTGGAGTAAATCTTACGGAGCACTAACTCCACTGATGGATCTGAAGGCAGATTATGGCCCTACGACTACAGACCACTAACGCCTGCTCAGTGGTTCTTATCCTTGTAACTTATGGCAAGATCTTTGTGGGACTGGTCATGTTGCACAACACAATCCACTTGCTGCCTTAAATCCAGACAGGTAAGCAGGACAGTATTTTTAATGGACAGTCCAAAGCAAGAGGTACAGAAGAGGACACCCAACGTGACCAAGGTTTCTGCATCTCCACAGACAGTTTCTTATCAGTAGGGCTGGAGCTTTCTTTGTTTGAGTGATAGTTAGGCTATTTTCATTCTGAAACATGTCAGAAGTGGAAGTGTTTGCTGTTTAGATGGCATTAACCACAATTATTAGCTCTATATTTAGACTGTTGTATAAACATCCATAGAAATAATGCTCTGTTCTTCTTGTCTCAGCCTGACTGTAAGACTCTGCTGGACCAAAGACGCAAAGAGTAGAACTAAAGAGGATTCTTAGAAGTCTAATACTTATTGTGATTGTTCAGTTAGAGTTGTTCAGCCTGGAGAAGAGAAGGCTCCGCAGAGACCCTATAGCAGCCTTCCAGGAGCTGAAAGGGGCCTACAAGAAGGCTGGAGAGGGACTTTTTACAAGGGCATGTAGTGATAGGACCAGGGGTAATGGCTTCAAATTGGAAGAGGGGAGATTTAGATGAGATACCAGGAAGAAATTTTTCATTCTGAGGGTGCTGAGGCACTGGAACAGGTTGCCCAGAGAAGTTGTGGATGCCCCATCCCTGGAAGTGTTCAAGGCCAGGTTGGATGGGGCTTTGAGTAACCTGGTCTAGTGGTAGGTGTCCCTGCCCATGGCAAGGGGGTAGGAACTAGATGATCTTTAAGGTCCCTTCCAACCTAAACCACTCTATGATTCTATGATTATTAATCTATTTAGATCATTAAAGCACAAAAGAACTGGACTCTCCAGCAGCTCTTTCAGCTGGGTAACAGACAGAGAAAGGGGAAGCGATTTGGCTACAGCAACATCACAAGTCACGAGCAGGTCACTGGAACTCTCTCCAGTGCCAAATTCAAGTCAGCAGCTAAATACTCTCAGTCCCTGCATTCAGCCCACAGGATGAGGCTGCTGCTCAAGAGACCGGTGCACACCATCCTCTGGCCACTGACCCTGTGTTTCTACCCCTTTATCACAATTTGCACGGGCAGGCTGGAAGACACCATCACAGGTTTCCAGGAAGAGCTGGAAGCTGACTTTTTTCCCAGCTGTACTGAAAATGCTGATAGTCACATTGCAGAGAGTCCCAGGATAATGCTGAACTGGGTTTTTTCTATATAATTCTGTTGTGTTAAGACTACATTGTGCAGAGAATTAAATGTTCTCTAGACCACATGGCAAACCAGTACAGGAACATCTTATTTTAATTACTATTTTATCCTTCCACTTGGGAAGTGAGCTATCCAGGAGGAACCCAGCTTAGGTCATCTTGGATGTGGAAGCTGGTCCTTGGCACCTCTCTAATCCAAAAAGAAATGGACTCAAGTTTGTTTTAAATGCTGTTTTTTTTCAGCAAAGCCTGAACCAAGCATATCCAAATGTGCAGCCTGGAGGCCAGATACTGCCCCCACACCAATTCATCTGACTGCTCCCACCTGCCTTCTTCCCCAGAGGTCCCTCAGATGTCGACTGAAGGCTGGACTTTAAGCAATTTGTTTCCAGATTGTAAAAGTGAGTCAGGACTTCTTTAAACTGCCCCACTGAGGTTTTCAGAGTGGC